ATTTAAAAAACCGGTAAAAAATCCTTACATATGTACCCCGACTATGATTTGATTTACCTATTATTTTGAACACCCTAAGGTTACGTTAAATATCCGAATTTCAAACATTAATAATAATAATGAAAGTTAACTTTTAATAATTTAAGTTTCTAAAAAATATGAAGTTTTATATTTTATAAATAAAAATATATAATAATACTATTTAACTTTTATATACAAATTATAAAAGATATTACAAAATTATAAAGTATTTAAAGTATTTGTATATGAGATAGTGAAGTAATTGGTATATTGCGAGCTTTTCTATAATTGCAAATAAATAATTTCTGAATATTAAAATTGTCTCGAGATTTAATAGCATTTTTGCTGGGTATTATATGTAATTCGTGCTTAACAAAGAGTCGCAAATTTTCCGTTTTGATCGTTTTTATTTGAAATAATTAATTTGAATTTTCAGTAGCTATTATCATTATTGTTATTAAATTTATATTTATAAATGATAATATTTTTTAATGAGTTGGAGTTAACGTAACATATCCCAGATTTTCTACTTGCTAAAACTTAAGTCATCGCATAATGACTAGATCATCTGGATTATTAAGGTCATTCACACATGAAATAATTTTGTTGGTCAAATAGCTAATATATGATTATGATTATATATTAAAATTGAAATTTTTACTAAGTCAATTGATATTTGTGCCGTAAAGTTATTATATTTTTTTATAATAAGAAGCTATTCAAATTACATGAAATTTTCAGAATGCTTACAAATTGTTATCCCGAATTACTTAAGACATGAATATCGAAGAGATCTTTGATTTACTAATTCTTCCTTTTTATTGTATTTTGCTATGACGATACTATAACCCAGGAAATTAGACTCCACTGACGATAACGACAGAAAGGCTTTATGTGCAGTAACGGCGTTATATTTGATGTGAGGGCATTATGGGCATTATAGTCAGTACTGTTAGGGAAGTTTCGCCCCACTAAAGTGATGGATGAATAGTTGTGTATTCCACAATTAATAAACCTTGATCCACTTCCTGATGTTCTATTAAGCGACATAATATGATTTTTCATGACATCTCGCTTACATGCATAATGTAAACCCAAAGAGAAGACGACGACCGAGTCTTGAACTGATTTACTTGTCAAATAAATTTTTTACTTAATTAAAAAAATTTACTTTGCTAATACAACTAATTTTGAATAGATTTTATAAAACATATAAACAAAACTTGTTTTGTTTTAAATTTTCAACAATTTTTTTTTTTTAAATAGCTCCGACTCTATATCGCAACGCTATTCACAATTTATTCTTTTATACCTCTCAGCCTCGCTTCAGCCTCTTTAAATTAGCGCTTTTTTATAAAATATATATTTATTAAATAAAGTCATATATAATCACAGTCACATGATATTATTAAATTTAGAAATTCTAGCCAAAATAATAACAATAAATTTCTCGAAACCTTAATTCCGAGACATAGATGTTTGTAACCGACAATCGAGAGCGCAGTCACCGACCTTATAATTCTTCATAAAGTCAGAAATTTTAAGTTTTTTTTTTTATAAAAAACTTTTTCAATTTCCTTTCTTTCTTAAGAAATAGTGATTATAAATAAATATTTTGAGCACATTGCAAAAGCAAAGCTTTTGTGACATTGAATGCTGAATTAATAACTAAAAACTTAATGTAAATGTAAAGAATAGTGCAAACATTGAATTGTGAAATTTATACAAATTTAAATCTATAGCAAACGATTGTTTCGAAAGAATTCATTATACAAATTGAAAGTTTTTTTAATGCCCATCACACTTTCCATATCATAAACTTTAAAATCACATCAAGAATTCATTATAAAAAGTTCATTATAGGGATTCTAACTGTAAATAAATTTACAAATGAAATGAACTAATTTAGCATAAATAAAATGATTCTATAAAGGTTGTAAAGCTATGTATGAAATCTATACTTACATGTTAAATTAAAGGGGAGCCTAATCAATCATATATTCCTTTTACTTGCATTATATACGGTACGGCAATAAAACTTAGAGCAGACAAGCATAAATTAAACTAGTAAATACGGTTTGCAGAAAAGGAATTTTATTAAACAAAATGACAAGTTAAATTGAAAAAAATTCATTACGTTGATTTTATACTGCTTTAGTCACATTAGATCGAAAAATACAAGGGGATCCCAAAAATTACTGGTCAGATGTACCTGAATCCAGGTCGACCAGGCCAGAATTGATCAATTTCGCCCCAAGATCACGAAAAATTAAATTTTACTAATGAAGTCATAGCCAGTGTTGGAAATCTTATGTTCTCATGTTCTCATGTTCTCATACCTTTAGATTTGATATTCTGTAAATGTTCTCTATGAAAAAAATTTCGAGAACATAATACGTTCTCTATAATAGCATAACTCCAGATGGAAATATAATTATCTATCGAACGAAGTTCCGAAATTATCCGAAAAGAAAATGAATGAACATAAAAGGCGAGAAGGGTCGGGATAAAAATTTAAATAAATGACCGATATTTTCCGAAAATAAGAAATTTAAAAATAGGGATATAAAAATTTTATAGTTTGAGAACATAAAAAAATTTCTGAGAACATTAAATTAAATAAATTTGCTCTCATGAGAACATTAAATTAAATAAATTTGCTCTCATGAGAACATAAATCTCAAAACAGATTTCCAACACTGGTCATAGCTGTCCATTAAATAAAAAATGCCCAGCTGATAATTCTACTAACTCCGACGTATTCCGACAAGAATTTTCAGGGATTGCCCTGTAAAAAATTTCAGATTGAAATAAGTAAGATTGGAGATCATATGACTGATTACGCTGGATTTTGCTCTTGTTGAGAAATTTCTAAAGTTTCTAACACATGGTCATGTCGTTTTCATTAGCATCTTCCAGTCAAAACTGTTTTGTTGCCTAGAATGCAGCATCAAGTTCTGAAACATATTCATAAGCTGACATTTTCTGGCGTTGAGATTTATTCTAATGAGTTCTTGCAGAACTTAGATTTAACATGTCAATATATAGGTTTGTGTTTTACGAGAAATGAATTGATTCCAAATGAAGTAATGGACTAGAGCAAAAGTTTTTAAATGGTGCAACAAAATGCCATCCCTGGTTTATCATTATATAATAAATTTTATTAATTATTGATAGAGGTTGGAGAATAAAAAAAATTAGTGCAAGTCAATCTTATTATATCAGCTCCATTAATAAAAATTAACTATAATATATCGAGAGTCTATTAGGAAATTCACTATATCGAGAAAATTTTACATTAGCTGGATTTGAGTCTAATTTCACATCAAGATTCAATTAGTTTTCAATATATCGAAGCACCTTATAACAAGAGTGATTTGTATACTATTTATATATTTTAACTGCAACCACCTCGTTCATGTTCAACAGTATTCTTAATTACCCTATCTTTTCCAAGTGATGAAACTGATGTTTTATTTTTTCAAAAAAAATTTCATTTTATAAGGCATGATGAAAATTTAAAAGTGACCCTGCAACTTGACTATTTATTTTAAATTATAAATTTCATTAAAAACAAAAAAAAACAAATAAAAAACTAAAAACATAAATAGCTTTTATAAAATTGACCAAACTGATAAAAATTTTATAAACTCTGGGTTATCAATTTACTAAATTTCGAATAATAGAATGCAATTGGTTTATATAGTTAATTTCACCATTCAAACGATTCACTTCTTCATTTAAATGATTCATTTTATTAAGGATTTCCTTTTCTACGTCCCAATTCACGCGGGATTGATTAAGGCTATTATTTTCATCTTGAATTCCCTCAAGTTTATCATGTAAACTTTTTATATATAAGGTAACTACATGAAATAAATAACACAAACCAAATTAGTAAACATCGTTATAGAATAACATTGCAAGCTATATAATACAAAATGTTCAATTTATCTTTCCATTCTAGTTGTGATACTTTTACAAGATTTTTCGTAACAAACTTTTTGGTGAAATATCCATAACAATATATATAATCACCATATGTTTATATTAATGACGCAGTGTTATAAAAACTTTTTAGCTAATCAAATTAATTATTCAAATCATGTGACACTCGGAAGAGTTTAGCCGATTAACATCCTTAACTTTTATCAGATTACTATGTACGCATTTAGAAAGTATTTTGCTACGTAAGGAGTTTCTTGGAAATCGTCTTCATAAAAACGCCGACAGGTTTCTCTGGAGAACTTTTAAGTTTGCTCTCTATATTCACGAAGCTCCGTAACAAAATATTTTCTAAACACGTACTTGATACTGTGGAAAATTTCATTACTAGGAAAGCTCCTATTGGAAAGAATTTTTTTTCTCCTTGAATGAATCGTGGTGCGTAATTCTTAAATCAGAATTGGTACATTGCCATTTTGTAGTAATTCTACCTTGGATGCATCGTTACTTGGATAAGATGTAGAAGCAAGAATTTCGCGAAGCGTATTAAAGCGGATTTTCATTTCATCACGTCTTTTCTGCTCTGACTCTGCATGCTTTTTACGATTGTGCTCGCTATCGTTAACCGGAGGATTTTCTTTGTTGTTTTCCATACTCTGCGACTAGACATTAATAGAGTATGAACAGAGAAAAGACGTTTTATGAAAACGGGCAGATCAAAATTAATATTTAACTACGCATCATATTTATATATATATTATCTTGGAGACTTAAAAAGGCTTTTTAAAATATTTATTTATTTATTTTATGTAACGCGATTGCATTGATTGACAGATAATAAATAGTGTAACCCTAAACGTTCTTTACGTGTATGACAACACCAATAGCGCAATTTCTTTAGGTTTGTAAAAAAGTGACCTTAAAAAAATAAAATATCTCAACGGTGCGTATAATACTGTAACATAAATGATGATAAAATAAATTATGTAATCCGGGTAAAAAAATCTTTGATTATACAAATTATTTCCTTTTTGGATAGAGATTACTCTTTACGTACGTACGTACGTACTGTACGTACAGTACGTACTCTTTACAAGTTCGCACGTGCGGGACAGATTCATATCTGTATTTGGGTCATTTAATGTTCGGACCGATTCATATAGCTCTATTTCATTTGGGTCATTCGCTAGGAAAATCGCCATCTGGTACTTGCTTTCAAATAGTGGTTTCCCTAGAAAATAATCCATTTGTGTTGGACGAAAAGTTTTTAAAAGAAAAAAAACGGTTGTTACGCAAATTTAAATTTCATACCTGAATTCAATATGCCGATAATCTTCTAATTAAATCCGTATTATATGCATTAGGATCAACAATTAATAGTGTTACAAGCCGACCACGGACATTACAATTTTAATAGTATAATAAAAGAGAACCGAGATTTTAGCTAGTGTCAAAAATCTTAAAATTGACCAAAGCTGGTTTTCCTAGTCTATTTCCCATTTAGTCAATTAGTTAGTCAATTAGTTAATCAAGCTAGTTTTATGTTTAGAATACTTAGAATACTTTTTAATAATATAACATTTTACAAGCGAAAGAAGTACTAATTATGCAAAATAATTCACAATCTAGAGTAGGGCTGTGAATCGATTCTAAAAATTAGAATTCCCAAAAATCGTTTTAGAATCGATGATCGAATCTTAAATATATTATTTTTTGTTCCGATTTGCCTGACTAAGCTTTAATCTGTTTTGTATTGTTAAATGCTATAGATTATTTGATTATATATATTTATAAATAATATAATTT